TTTTGGGGAAGGGGGGTCGACCTCCACCTGTGTAGTGCCGTGTACTCCAACCCGTGGTCACACAGAAGAGCCCCTCTCTACCCTCCCCTCCTGCGGTACTTTGCCTTCGATTTTTAATGCGAGAAGAGTTCAGCACTCTCTTCCCTGGAGTTACGCAATCGCTAGACACGACACGGCGCATGCCAAATGCGCTTCATGCAAGAGCGAACACGACAAAACCTTCACAGCCTTTCATGCCTGTCTAGCTATTCCAACACGTCGCCAGCACACACCACTGCACAACAGCGGCAACGGTAACATCAGCAGCAACAGACGTATTACCGCACCTGCCGGTGATCGCTTGTCCCGCGTGCACGAGCATCGACCACCCCTCCACGACACAGGCCTTTATAGGGTTGCTGTCGTACAGACAAGAATCCTCGAAAGACGGCAGCATCTGCTGCACCCATCGCGGGTCCAGCAGCTGCTCGCTAACTCCGGTGATTGGGAGCATCTGTTGCGCAACAGGTGCAAGGGCGAGGAAGGAGGGCACGCGCCACGATCAAAGGGTTGATTTGGTGATATCCTTGTCTATTACCCACAACGAAAGCGCGATAGCCGATGCTAGGGAGGCACCCAAAACGCCGCCCGAGAATAGGGTACGCTCGCGGCAACGGCGACAAGCCGGTTCGCTTTCTTGGAGGCAACATGTGTCGCTGTCGGTGAAGTGAAAGGATCGGGGCATGCAGATTTTTGTTGTTGTGTGTTGTTGTTGTCTTCACATTAAAAACCGTTCCGATCTCTCTCTACCCAGTACCTTCGTATGTCCGTACTGATCCAACACTCGACGACGCGGTCAATTCCCGTGGTCACAGGTTAAACTTACCCTAAAAAGGTACACTCAAATAAACTGGCCCCGAGGGGTGGGTCCGCAAGTCAATAGAAATCAACGACAGATATTCTGGTACAAAGAGACGGATAGGCAGCTTGCCTGGATCCCGTAAACTTTCCAGGCCTCCGCTCCGAACCAGGTCTGCATCTGCGCCAGCGTGCTCCAAAGCATCCCGACGACGTGCGGCCGGTAGGCCTCCGGATACACTCTAGGCAAGTCGGGGGTGCCTGCGTTGGCGACTTGCCAGTAAATCTGGGCGGACTGCGTGATCCACCGTGCAGACACAAAACCCCCAACATATCATGGGGGTAGGGCAACCGGAAAAAACGAGTTGTGGTGGGAGGATCGCGGAGAGGGGTTGCGCCGCCGCTGCACTCCCGCAAGACGACCCGCTACCACAGTTTCCATCCGTTTACGGATGCAAAAACAAATGGTGATGTATTACGCTTGCTTTGCGAAGTCGCCCCCGAGTTGATGGAATATCTCAGCCTGGTGCATTCACTTGCTACTCATCTCTCTCATCGTCCGGGTCTCTCCTTTTTGTAGCACCCTCTGAGCGCGCCGCCGCCTCTTCATCATGCGCTCCCATTTTTTGTGTACCCGAGTTCTTGTTGCATCTCGGTAGGCGAACGATCAATAAAGATCCCCCCGATCAACAAAAGTTGCCATACCGATGCCTCCTCGTCGTCCTTCTTGTCTCACCTGTACTTCCGTGGCGAGAAGCTGCCTGCCGGTGTCCCGAATGAGGGAGGCCGTCTGCGTCTTTGCCGGATCGCCCGCTGAGGAGAACACCTAGGGCAACGCAGTCACCGGCAAGAATCATGCGCAGAAAAAACAAAGGTCTCACGACAAAGAGAAAATCCCGATTACGGAAGACAACAGGGCTTCTTCCGCCTGAGGTTGGAGAACCCAGCACGGACAAAACAACAGGCCACATATTGTTCTAGCGGGGGGCACGTAGAGTAGAGTAGTGGTCATTTGCAAGGCCAACTCGTACCGAAGGATGTAGCTGGCCTCATTTCCGGGCACCCCGTAATTTTCAGAGTACGAGACGAATTGGATATTCCATCTGTGTCACGCGACTTCACCGGTCTTGCGCAGGGCGACTAGCCTTTGTACTATTATAATAATACGAAAATGCCGCCCAATATAGGGAGAAAGTCTGCACAACAAAGGGTTGTTGGGTTCACAGTCTTAATCAGGCGGTGGTGATATTGTTCGACACTGCGACGTTGCGCAACACATGTCGGTTCCGGAAGGCTTATTAATATCATGGTGCACTTCGCCCGCACCACGCAATGTCAACCGTTTGGCGGAGGCCGTGTCTTACCGGTTCGGTCGCAAGAGTAGCGATAGGGTCGCAGAGTCCCAACGTCTCATAACGGGAACACCTACAGCACTAACAACGAAACCAGGTCCATCAACGACGACAACAACAACAATGGTAGCAGCGACACACGTGGAGACGAAGATCGGTCATCTACCTGTGCCATGACGTGGCCGTAGAGGGCGACGGCGTAGTACGCGTTGACGGCCTCGCTGCTGCTTTCCTGGTTGCGGCCGTTCATGTACGGGACCCCCCCCAGGGTGGGAATGCCAAGGGCCCACGACGACCCCAAGAACCAATCCTGGCACCGCCGCGGAATTGATATTCATTTCAAATTCCATCTTGGAAACGTTGAATACGTTGCGGGGTTGTACTCGACCAATGTTGTCCAATAATCAGAGGTTGGTTTAGCGATTTGTACCACGCGACTCCAGCAACAAACTCAGTAGCAGGGCCATGAACGACCGTTCCTCCTACAAGGTACATGGTCTGGCAGAAGATAATAACTCAGAACGATGGTGGGCTCATTTTCGCGACTCGCCAACGCCCATCACGGGCAGGTACAAAAAAGTAGCCCGGGATACTTGGAGCAGAAGGGCAGCAGCAGGGGTGCCATATTTCGTTTGCGATGCCGCTGACATGTCCCAAGCGCTTGAAAAGTAGAGTTGTTGTCATTCTCGCGACTCGTGGAGCAGAAAGTACGGTAGGTTTGCAGAGGCTGCCAGCATACCTTGTGTCGGAACACCGGGAAGAAAGGGTCCGAGCTGGACGGGTTCGCGATGTCTCTGATGAGCAGCGTCACGGCCTCGTGGTGCTTGATTCCCCAATCCGGGAAAAATTTGGAGACGATGGCCGCCGCAAAGATGTGGTAGCCTGTGGTTTCAGAGAGAGGCGGAGAGGGGAAAAATCAAACGAACGAGCCGTGAGCCTCTTCTGACGAGAATACTCCGCATTCATGCGTAGAACAGGGAGAGCAGTCGCGGTTAAAACACGACGTTGGTCTGTCTCGCAAGGACCGGGGGACGACGCAAAACTGGTCGGGGAATACTAATGATTACGCCTAGTCTGTCCCTCGCAAGGGTATATTGTTTGGAAAAGAAGGACAATGAAAACTCACGGGAGCAGGCACGAGAAAATGCGTAGAGTGGTGATTCTGACACTCTGTAGGGTTGCAGCGGGTGCGTTCTATTAAAGCGCACTACCCAACAGGGGAACGTGCCACCTCAACTGCAGGCGTCACTCCACGCAACACACGAGAGCAAGGCGACTACCGGGATTCAGGCCGGGTGGTCGCGCCAAGGATACAACACTTTGGAGTTCGTCGCACAACTCCTCACCCATCTCGAGCTATTCCCAATAAACTAAAATAAATCTTGTAGCCTGGAGTTGCCTCCGCGTCGATAAGGCGGGCGCCCAATAGGTGTACGCAAAAGGTAAGCGGCACCTTCTCAACACGTGCATATGTCTCAGAGGGTATTGTTTTGCTGCTGTGTGCGCCGCCCGCCCCACTCACCGAAATGGAAGTGATGATCGTTATAAAAGCCAAGGCCGAAGTTCATCCCGGGGTCGCTGAGGCCTGGGCACTGATATGGGCCGATACCATTAGTGCAGCCGTGGTCCTTTTTGTACGCGCAGCCGCAGGTGACCACGCCTCCCCACCGGAAGTCATAGAGCAAGGGGGACCCCGCCGTACCGTTCAGCCAAACCTGTCGTTCAAGGCATCGTTGTTGTCTTCAAAATAGCAAGCGTTACAGCAATAAACCCGAGCCAGAAGTGGTTGTGGTGCCAAGGGGGGTCGTTTGGTGGGTGGAAAATATGTCGCCGTTGTTGTCAATGTTGTGTCATACGAAATAAATCGTACCAAAATTCTCCGGAAAGAGGTCGGACCCAAAGAAGCGAAACGCAACTATACATAGTTTAGGCGGAAGCTGGCGTACTGCTGTGCGTTCCCGCACTCTCTGTACCTGAGAGGCTTCGGCCAGGCGAGCTGCCACCATTCTGGCGTCTTCCGGGCGCCCCATTTCCTCGGCGATGAGCGCGATTCGCCCCATCTTGGCCAACATTTTCCCGGAAAAGTACGCTATTGAGAATTTCCGTTGGTTTTTCACCAGGAGTGGACGACGGCCGGTGGCCGAAGCGCCCAACATCCGCAGAGGTGGGTTCGCCGTGGGCGGGTGCGCCGGGGTCAACGAGCAAGAAGAGGGAAAGTCAGTGGGATTTTTAAGACAGACAGGAGGGAAAGGTTTGCAGGCGCAAGGAAGGCCGAATGTGCCGTCCAACGGGTAATGACGCGTGGTGCATCAACGTGTCGAAGCTCGAACAGCTCTCGCCAGCATTTTCGGTTGTAGAGCATGGTGCTGTCGTCGTCGGAGACTGAGCGGTCACCGGGCCAGTGCCAAGCTCCACCGAAAAAACACATTCTATTCTGGGCGCTGCCACTGTTCGCCTATCGGTATGTTCGTGGACCAGCCGGGGTCACGGAGGAGGAAAGTCACACAGAGGGTTTCTTCATCGGCAGCGGGTAGCGGGTCCATAGCAGCCCGTTTTCTTTGCCGTACAAAACCCCAACTCGCGACCTCGACGCATGCTTGACACACGCGTTCTGCCAGCCGTAAGAACGAATCATTCACTCAAGAAAGCTTTCTACTGAAGCTGCAAAGAGTGTTTCGCCGTCACACAACAAATCGTCGCCCATCCCGTGTTTGCTGTTGATGTATGTCATCGTGGACCAGATTGAATGCCACCTATTTTCTCATGACCTGCTGCCCTCGCACAGGAGATTCAGCGTGTGAATATCACGTTCGTTCTTGAGGGGTATTGTTCCTTCCGATTCGCTGAAGCTGCCGTGCGGATCGATCGGCTGCACTGAACAACACCGAACACTGCCTTGTTGCTGCGAACTTACTGTCTCCCTCCCCCCTGAGATAGTTTTTCGGCATCTCGTACTTCACGTCCTCGTCCAGAGCCTCGTTCACGTCGGCAACCATCTCCTCGCGGACGGGCCGTCCCACCCCGAAAGACACCGGTGGCAGGGCGACCTTCATGCTCCACTCGTTGCCTATGGCCACCTCCGCCTGATGTCGCACACATACGTACCAGCGAGGAGGGGGATGATGACAAGGAACCGAGCAACCAAAACGCCACCGGAAACAGGAAAACCCCTGGGCGGTTACATCCACTTTCAGAGGGTTGCTACAGAACAAGGGGACAACCTTTCAGCTGGACTGCTCATGAACTGAGTGTTGGCGAGGGGCGGCCGACGCAGCGCGAGGAAACCCATCCACCGCAGATTTTCCGAAACAGAACAGTAATTTTATCCTGGAATGCGGTACCTCCAGGCTGAACAGAGAAAAAAACAACCGTGGAGACCAGGCGCACGTCTGAACCGTGGTTTTTCCTGGCCCTCGGACCTTACCTGGCCGTGTAGCGAGGGTGTTCCGATGTCGGTGAGCCCGTCCGCAGCTGTGAAAGCCTGTCGGTGGTGCAGCAACGCGAACATTATTAGCGGCGGGCTGTCGGCACCCACGTCAGCGCTGTCGCTGTCACCGGCGCTGCTGTCGCTTTCGCCGCTATCGCTACCACCATCGTCCCCTCCTGCTGCTGCTGCTGCTGCCGCTACTGCTGCTGCGGGGTCCACTGCGACGACCGGTTTGCCGTCCATCCGCTTCGGGGCCCACAGGAACCTCAGGCTTCCCTCTTCCTCGGCACCGTCGCCTTCACTTTCGGCACGGGGTTTGGGGCTTGCGCCCGCCGAGGCAGGGGCGGTCATGGCAGAGTTTTGTGTGTCCTCCTCCAACCTCGCTGTGTCGGCCGTCTGGGCGACGTCGCCCTGTAGAACAAAGAACCATTGAAAAGGGCGACATCAGCAAGACCCCGAGGATTAGCACGCCATGGGTTGAGGCTACGAACCAACGAGATATCTCGGAAGCGCCGTCGTCCTGTCCAAACCTTCTTGTCGGCCCTTGCGTGCGCACAACGAGTACGCTCCGAACGGCCGTCGGGAACCAAAGTAGAAAGACAGCAAACGAAGATGCGTCATACAGGGCGGGAAGATATCTATGCAAGAGAATCCACTATCTTTTGCAGAGAAGGAAAATTTTTCGCCCCGCACTCACGATCACTTCACGCAATACTGGCTTCTCCAGGGTAGGGATACACGGGAGTATCAAGAATATTTTCAGAAGCTCTTGAACGCACAGATAGCAGCAGCGACACCGGTGGTCACCGCAACAACAGCAACACCAGCAACAACAACAACAACAACCACCACCACAGCAACAACCACCACCACCACCACAACAACAACAACAACCACCACAGCAACCACCACCACCACCACCACCACAATAACAACCACCACCACCACCACCACCACAACAACAACAACAACAACAACAACCATCAACACCACCACCACAACAACAACAACAACCACCACCACCACCACCACAACAACAACAACCACCGCAACAACAGCAACAGCAACAACAACAACAACCACCACAGCAACAACAACAACAACAGCAACCACCACCACCACAACAACAGCAACAACCACCACCACAACAACCACCGCAACAACAGCAACAGCAACAACAACAGCAACCACCACAGCAACAACAACCACCACCACCACAACAACAACAACAATAACAACAAGAGCCGTCACTGCCACAAAACAAACCAACCTCACAAACCTGAAGGGCGTCTTCGATCCAGTCGAGACTGCTTGAAGAGTACGACACTCTGGCCTGTCCCGTGGGATAAACCTCAGCATGCGCCCGCAGCAGCTTGGCATAGTCCTCCCTGTCGTCGGGCTCCCCGGGCTTCGTGCACCTGATTCCACACATTGAGTAGGCCAGGAAGCGGGCCTTCAAATGACACAGGCTGATCTACACACGCGTGCGGAGCACCGATACGCCGGCCGATATCTTCTTGTGTTGAGCAAGTCCCACGAACGGTTGCTGTGGGCCTGCTCTCACAGGTTCTCGCATTTCGAAAGGATGACATCAGAGGGTGTCCTGCGGACGAAGGTGTTTCATAAGTATGCCACTCTAGGATCGCACTCGTACCCCCATTACTGGTGGCCCGTTGGGATCTTCCACCTCAAGTCTCATTTGGAACAACAACACGAGTTCATGCACGCTCCCTGGCGGCCGACACGACAGCAATAACAACAACAATAATGACAACAACAACAGCAGCAGCAGCAGCAGCAGCAGCAGCAGCAGCAAGACGGCGGCGTCGACCACAACAACATCAACATCGAAACGAGATTCCTGAAAGTACACTAAAACACAACTGGTACGTGCTGTCGTCCTTGTGCGATTTCTCGGACAGACACACTGCCTGCTCCGTTTCCTAGCTTGATTCACTCGTCAGAAACGCCTCGTCAGGTGAAAACAACCCCCGGAAGCAATACATTCCAACCTGTTGCTTGTCCCCGACGTGCACGTGTTGACCATGGCCGCGCGGACCACACCGCCTTCTTCTTCCGACACCGCGCGGACGGCCTCGAGCCTAAATCGAGGCATGCTCTGCCAAGCGCCGACGGCGCCCGGGGTGGGGGGCTCCCCGCGCTCCATGGCGAACCAAGAGCTGCACAGAAACTCCGCCGGGTGGGAGACGAAGACGAGCCAGGTGTCGTCGCTGCTAACCGCTCCGCCGGAGAAGATGATCTCCACCTCCCGTTCCACGTGCACCGAGGTCCCGTTCTCGCAGCCAGAGGAGAGGGAAAGCCGCTCGCCGTCGACCACGAGCTGCGTAACTTCCTAGAGCATTTGATTATAGTGTGGGAGCACGCGAGGCGTTGACGGGTAGGGGAGGGTCGGATAAGTCCTGTCGGGGAAGGGAGTAAAACCAAATCAGTTCTTCGGGTTCTAACGCGTGTGACGGAGGCGCTTACGACCACAACCGAACATGACAACAGCAACAACAACAACAACAACACACACAGCAACAACCGTTGTCATCAACGTCCACTCGTGCCCACCTGGCGAGCAGAAATAACGGGCCGAACCCCGCGATATTCCATCGTAGCGTACGGAGAACCGCGCACGGCGGGGACGCTCATAGCCGGAGCCCCCGCACTCGTAACCCCGGCCGCCACGTCCCAGTTAAGCGTCACAGAGAGGGGTCCCGGCTGGGTGATGTAGTGATCGGTCACCTTTTCCACGCAGCCAAGCTGGAGCGCGTGCCGCCAGTCGAAGGTTGTCTGGACGATCAGGTCAGAGGCGACCACCTTTCATGGTCCCGTGGGATGCGGCAGGAGTTCGAGGTGAAGAACGGGACGAAGAAGGAGTGGAAAAAAGGCTGAGAGAGATCTAACCATCGGCGGATTGCTGTTGATCGTCAGACAAGGGAACCCGGCCGCCGCGCTCACCCCGCTTAAGACCAAGCCCAGCCCTATACGATTGTTTTTCGGTGGGAAGTGGGGTATGTCGTGGCATGCGACATTTGGGGGCTGAAAGCCTCAAACTGTCGGTATATACTAGTGACCCAGGATCCAGGAGTCAAGCGTCTCAAGGCCTGTGAGAATCAAGACGGGTGCTGATGTGCCTTGCCGCGCACGAGAAGGACACCGGCCTGCCTCTACAACGCCGTCAAATGAGGCCAAGGTTTTTGCGCGAAGCATCAATCCTGGACCTCACACGCAGCACACACAGTCACGCGCCCGGCCAAACAAGAGACGACACCACGAGCATCTTCATCGACGTCTCTCCCTCCCCACCCGTTCTTAACCACCCTGGTGAACCCCAGCCGGCCGAAGCAAGACTACACACAGCGCAACTCCCGGCCGAATGCCAAGCGTGTTGGATCGTGCATACCTGGGGAAAGTGTACCCTCAGGCCGGCAGTGTCCCCGGCGACATCGAAAGTGTAGGGAATCACGACGATGTTGTTCGACCTCGTTTCCTGGTGAGATGGCATATACGCGACGAAACGGGAACCCGTGAGTGGGGTGGAATCAAGAGTACGAAACGTTCACATTGGCAACACACCTCGGTGTTCGGGACAGAGAGCGTCGGCCGGCTCTTGTCGTGTCGCGTAACCCTTGTGAGGAACGGCCGTGATATGCGATTTCTCGCGTAAGATAGCCCTTGCGACTTCGCACGTTTGGGTATTCACGACAACTGCCGGAATGCCCAGTCAACTTAGCCGAGGGGACGGGTGACCCTGGTGTGTCCATGCACGCGCCGATGCGCTTGGTGGTATTACAAGAAATGGGAAGGGTCTTGGCTGGTGTCAATCAACGGTCTTCACAAGGCAAAGAATCCTACGCCGAAAGCTCGGATCCTAGAGACATCAAAATATCAAATTGGCCATCAAAGAAAAATGACAAGAGTGGTAGCAGGTAACGGACTTGCTCATAGGCAGCCTGTCGGGGATGGACCACAGCCAACCCAGCTGCACCCTGGTAGACCTGATGATAGCATCTGGGGTTTGGTTTCGATGTATTGACGACGGGGTGCGTAATGTACACCATTGGTTGTTGTCTGCTCTCTGCTTGAGGCTTGGTTTTGAGAAACACGTACTTGCAGACTTCGATTATACTTTCTTCGCAGACGCAGCGACCAAACGCTATGTACCTATTGTTGCCAGCGGTCGTTCTATTCGTCAAGGGTTTCGTAAACGGGGTCGAAGATACTGCTGTGGAGCGCACGTCGTTGGGTGGTCATGACGCTGTGCTTGAATTTGGTGGACGAAGGGACCGAGGTGCTTCGGATAACTTCAACAACGAGGTGAGAGGAGGAGGCACATCGAATTTTCAACGAAGCCCCGCCGCGAAACGAGAACCACCACGCTCGGTGGTCGCTGCTGTATCTACAAAGTCTCCACGAACAAGGCTGGGGGAAGAATCAACTTCTATGGACAGTCGCTACAGCTGGGTGTCTTGTTGCTGTCGGGATCTTTGGTATCGCACAAAAATGCTATGTTGCCTTGGCATGCATAGTATGTAGTGCAATGCATGCATGGGCAACCAAGTACATGCTTGCATAGGCCGCTCGTGAGATGGGGTCGAACATGACACACGAAAAATCCTGCATCTGGTTCAAAACCCAAAAGTATCCACATGAAACCACACAAACGGGAATGATACACACCTGCGATGGGAAGCCAAGCACGATGTTCTCCCACCAGGCATTGGTAGGTAGGCTGGTGTGGAGACTGACAGACGCGTTGGCAAGCGCACCCCAGGCGCTCGTGGGCCAGGTATCCTGTATTGCAACCACGTGAACGCTCTGTTAGTGCTGCTGTACCGTCCGTCTTTGCCCGCCAGACGTGGACAAGCAACACGATGTTCCACTCACAGCAGCAATCACACGAGCAGGAGGGACACACGAGCACACGCTACTGGGAATATGTCGCAGTTGCAAAACCACTGCCGTGAACAGCAGTCGATGATCTCGTTTGCTCAGTGCTCACCTCTGGCCTGTCCATGTGAGGGCAGTGAGCGTCTGCCGGGTCTACCGTACTAAACGGCTGCATTGCCGGAACGACGATCTTGCCGTCAGCAGCGGCGGACGAATCAAGCATGTTGAGGGCCGCTTCGCTGCTGCTGTTGCTGCTGCTGTCGCGGCCACTGCTGTTTTCTCGCGTGGAATGGATGTTCGCTGTGGAGGAAAGAAGGACACCTACCAGGAACATGGCGCTGATGGAGAGGACAGCGACGGCAAGCCGAGACAGAGAGCTCCTGTTGCTGCGCATGCCCAAGGCTGCTGCAGGTGGCGCCGCTGATGTATCCGGAGAAAAGGCTTGCGTTGCTGCGACCTTCGTCCCATCGTATCGAGCCGATCCTTCACCCAAGGCGGTACACTCGTCTGCACGGGCATTTTCCATGGCACGGCAGGCTGCAGTGGTAGGTGCAACACGCCAGCAGCACCCAGCAACGGTTTTTGGGTAGTGAGTGGTTGAACTTGGCCTGTGGCCTGTGGGCTGTTGGACGGACCAAACGTTTTCGGGGGTTCCGGCGCTTCATCTCACCGTCCGGTCCGGCTGCAGTGCGCACACACACGTACCTCCGCCACCAAAACCACATCAAGCAGCTGCCCTTCGCACATGGCACCGCCGATTGCAATAGAGAGCGAGGAGCACCTGCAGCGCCTCGTGCAAGAGAATGACAAGTTGATTGCTGGCTGGATTCCTGCCGGGGAGGATGGTGAACCCACCGCCGAGGAGGCCTTTGAGCAGCTGCCAGCTGATGCTGAAGGAGGTCTCGCCCTGTTGTGCCGCATCGATCCCGGAATCATCCCTGCTGCTAACCTGCTGCCCGACGGGTGGGAGACAAGCGAGGGTGACCAGCAGGAGCCATGTTGGTTTTTCTACAGCGCTGGCAAGATGGTGCGTCCTAACGCGTATACGGGATGGCGACATCGCGGTGTATCTGTTGTTGTTCCACGAGTGCAAGTTCAACTCCGTCAACGTACCCACAGGCCCCCTGGTTGCTTAGCCCGTGTTCTCGGTGTGCATTGCAGGGTGGTATCCGTTGGCGTAGGCAGGACTTCCTTTTGGTGCCGGCCCCGCATGATTCAGGACAGTCCTTGTAGTGTGATTATGGATAAAGCCGCTACTACTTTAGTACCGATTGACCCTCTCATTCTGGTTACCGACACCAGGCCACCGGAAATGGCTGTCGCACCAAGTCGCACTCCCTAAATAATGTCGCACAAAGCCCGAGCGGCGGGCTGAGGCGGGGATACTTTGGGTTTTTCAAAAGCAGCCAAGACAGATACAAGAGATATACGGGTCTTGGACCCGTGCATGTCAACACTCCCCTGTGCTACACCCGAAGGGCCCCTGGCTTTGTCATACATGTGCTGCCTCTTCGACAGCAGTAGAGGCTACATAGTCTACACGCCATATTGCTTCGGAATTGGGCCGCGTTTCGTACATTGCACCCCCCCCCCTAATTACCGCAGTCTGGCTTTCACAGCTCGATTGCTCCACAACCAAGAAGCTTAGCCAACCGATCGATGCGTGCAAGAAGCTCTCCACGAGATCGTTCCATCTTTGGCATTGGCAGCCCCAATAGCTTACGCAGGTGTTTCCAAGTTAGAAAGCATAGACATGGAAACGGCTAGGTTGAGTGTTGAGGTCTGCGTTCCTGGACGTACCTCAGACCGGTCGCTCCTGTGATCTAGGTGCCCCCCTCGAGAATCATGCCACTAGCCAGTCGTGGTGCGGTATCGGCTACATTTTAATAACATTTGAACACGCGGCACCCACGCTGAGAATTTGAGAACTTGGCTACCGAAGGAAGAGAAGAAAATTACACGCAGGTCTATAATAGGTGGATGGCGACACTGAATCAGCGTTTCGCCCGATAATATAGAGCTGAGACGACCCCTGCCCATGGCGACCCCGCCCAGATGAGGGACATTCCCCCGCGTGACCCTTCGACCAACGTTTCTTCATCTAGTAGCTTGCCCCCGACCAACCGCACAACCAGGTGTACGCGGCACAAGACTCCGCCACGCCGGGCCCGAAGCTCGGCCGCCTCGCCGCTCTCCTCGAGCGTAGCCCGGACACCCTCCACCAGCTCGCTCGGCAAGACCAAGTCCTTCGCCGACAACGGCGGGGACAGCAAGCATCCACCGCCACCGCCGCCGGTGCTGACCAAGGTCATGTCGTCGTCGCTGCTGCGCCACCCCAAGAACCGGGGCGACACGGCGCCGCGCGCGGAGAACAACTGCTTGGGGTCACACAGGGGGGGGCGGCTCGGGAGAGAGGAGTGCCTGCTTCCGGGCCGGGGCCCGCAGTTTTGGTCTTCGTCGCCGGGGATAGGTCTCAGGTAACGCTTGGGCGAGGATCTGGATTCAGGCTATCTAGCTTGTCACGGAGTAAGTCCTGGTGATAGTGCTACCTTCCCGAGTCCTGCGGGTGATAAGAAATCGTCGCGGGGGTGGAGGGAGTGTTGTTTTTTCATTCTTCGTGACTGCTTCTCCCGCTGTTCTAGGCGTACGGACGCTCTCCAACGTATTGTCGTTGTGAAGGCAGCAGTCGGCCCAAAAGCATGCGGATTAATGTGTTGACCCCTGCCCTCCCCTTCCCACCCGTTCTGAAATCGCGCACGTGCGCAACAATGAAAAGGTGGGCAAAAGCAGCACGTGCCTCGGCCTCCTGGGAGCTTTGCTACGACGAGAAGACTTGTGCTCGAGCGACCTGGCCTACATCAAGCCGGCCACGCAGTGCGAGAAGCCGCAGCTGGTGACCGACTGGTGCGAGGCAAATGGCGTCGCCTGTCGAGGCATAGGTCCGGTGGTTTTCTACAAGGTGCGGAAATCCACCCTCCCGAAGCGGCAATAAAAAGGAGACAGCGGGCACAGTATCGCCTTCGTCGTATTTTTAAGGAGAAAAAACGTAGAGCTGGGTGTAAAGTTTGGTGGCGGGATCCTCTAACGCGTCTCACGTGGCGTGCATAACATGCCGGGGGGGATTCTCGAGCGGGGGGAAAGGCCGGGGATGGTTAGCGTCGTCGTGTGGTATTTTTTTTTTTCAGTTGGGAAAATCGATGCCGGGGCAGATCGCCGGAGTTTCAGCTGTCTTTTGTCGTCGGACCCCCGCCAGAGCACAAGGTGTTATCGCCGGTGCTCTTCAAAGGGATGGACGCAATGAGAAGGAAGCTTTGGGACTTTGACCCTCGTAACTTTGGGGCTTTGACCCGCTTCCGCTCTCATGAGCGACTTGTCCTGCCCCGCTCCCGCATCCACGCCCCGCTCCAGGGTTTCACGAGGCAGTTCCTCAAGGGAGGGGCGGGCACGTCGGAGGAACTGCTGCAGGAGATCAGGGATGCTGTCGAAGAAATTTCCTCAGGAAAAAAGGTAGCGTTGCTGGGGGTGATGTTGGCGCTACATATTGATGATTGACGTTGCGGCTGATTGTAACATAGCTAAAGCTCCCCCCGACAACATCGGGTCGGGACGGTTCCAGAAAGCACTGCTTCGTTCAGCGCGTGCTTCTCGAACACAATGCCGAGATCTGTTGCTCTGCGAATTTTATCCATGTCGCGGGATCGATGACGGTCACAACCATGAAATGTGTTGTTGGGAAACCCGAAACTAGGGTGGATGTGAAACTACGGTACTAGTTTGCACGATGGAAACATTTCGTTTCGACTACTGCCCCGCACCCTGGGACCCCGCGGCCGACCTCGCAGGTCGTCGTGGTCGACGGCGTGGGCTACCCCGCCGTGGGATCGATCTGCGGGGTGTCCAACGGGGACGTCGCCGCCGCTCTCAAGGCGCCGGTCCTTTTGGTTGGAAAGTCGGGCGTCGGGGACGCCGTGGACAGTTACAACCTCAACGCCTGCTTTTTCGAGGCCCGCGGTGTGAGGGTGCTTGGAGGCGTGTTCAACAGGATCTCCACCGCCGGATACTACTCCCTGGAGCGCTGCCGCGAGGTTTGAACATTGAGGGTGGTACAAGTCAGTTTGTTTTCCAACGACGCCTCGTCACGCGTGGTTTGTTGCAGTTTGTTTCCAGAGACACTTTGTCACGCATGGGTTGTTGCGTCGTGGTGCTTGGACCTGTGAAGGGTGCGGTGCCGGTGTTGGCAGACGTACGGGCATGTGTTGTCGCTATTTGCATATCGCCCTGCCTGCCGTAAGGTCTGCATTGTTCTCTTCCCTCCTGCTCTGGCGTTCCGCGCTTGGCCTATGGTATGACTTTTCGTGAACATCCTTTGGCGATCTGTCCTTTTTTTCATCGCTTCACGTTTTTACCTAGATGGTTCTATGACACTTCGTGGTGTTTCGCATCTACCCTCCAGTGCTGTGCCGCTGAACTACTTCACGGGGTGGTGGTAAACCATCTCACTCCTTCGAGCGTCGACAGTTTTTTCCCGTGCAGTTTTTTCGAGCGACGTCCGAACCTTGTCCCACGTTCTGTTTTTTCTCTTTCCCCTTAGGCGGTGACTTCGTATTTCGCTCAGGCGAACCCAAACGCCTTACCCTACGGCTTCGTGCCCGAGATAGCCTCCTTGAAACACGCCGCCGAGACGGGCAGCGTTGCGGCGAAACCCGGGGTTTCCCAAGCAGAGGCCAACTCAACGGCAGTTCCTCCGGCACCCGGGGCGGCGTCGGCGCAAGCGGAGGTTGCTCAGGGTGAAGGCGGTGGGCCTGGGAGTGGCATGGTGACTGGTCTGTCGGATTCGCCTACAAGAAAGGGGCCGGAAGCTGCGCTAGTGAAAGAGAAGCTGCCGGCAACAGAGGTCGAGGATGAGCAGGACCTACAAGCTTTCGTGGCCACCGCCGGGAGCGAGCGGTTGGTGTTGGTAGACTTCGGGGCGGAGTGGTGCAAGAACTGCAAGGCGATATTGGTGAGTTTTGGACAAGCGAGAGCTAGACATGATGGTTTGTTCTGGTTGTGCTGGTGAGAGCGGCAGCATTTCATTTTTTGTGGAACCTCCGGGGTGTTGACGCATGTGGTGGATCGTATTGTTGGCCGTGGTTCAATTATGCAGATAGGGCCCGGAGATACCAAACGTCGAAATCGGGTCGAGCCTCAGTTTCTTATTCTGGGCAGAAGGACCAGTCGGTCAATTTCTAAAAATGGATTTTTTTCTCCTTTGGCTGTCGCATCCTGCTGATTCTCCTATTCCTGCTGTATTTTGATGTTTCTGATGGCGAAGAAAACAGCACACCAAACGCCTTCATGCAGCATTAAACCGACAGCTCGGTGTGGCGAACATCGGGGATTGTGGCTGTACAGAAGTACAGCAGCAGCGGGTAGCGCAGCCCGCGGCGGCGCTGGGGCGCGGGGGGCGCCACGAAAATAACCACTCTCCCCTACCAAAAAGTACATGACATGAGCTAGGCAGGAGGTGGGAGCATGGCAGCAGCAGCAGCAGTGGGGCGTTTCTTTGGCCCCGCTCCCCCAGCTTCTACCCCTTGTTTCTTTTGTCTTTGGGTATCGCACCATCATGTTTCTTAGTGGGACGTTTCTTATGTTGTGCCCGAGATTGAGCTGCTGTCTTTCTTATGCCTTTTTTCTGATTTTCCGTAAAGGTTTGGCCCCCTTAACATAATTTTTCTTAAGTGCGGGCCCCATCTGTAGCCTGTTCATTCCCAATACAGAATATTTTCTCACGTAACTGGTACTATAGCGTTTTGGAGTAGCGTCGGCATCACTCATCCTTCATCGCCAGCGTTTTGTGGTGTTTGGTGCGGTAATTTTAATTTTTGGGGGCGAGGGTTGCGCGACATCCGTGCCTTGCCTTTGCCTGGTTGCTCGACCCAAACGAGAGTGTGGTATTGGCCACGCCGCCCGTCTCCTTCCTTGAGCACTTGAACACCAACCCTTCCTACTCCACATGTTTTTTCGACCCAGATTTCTCCCACATCGATTGTGTAGAACATTCAGCCGTTTTTTCGTTTTCGGTGTTTTTTTTTTTCTAAAAGCCTTTTGCGAGGTCGCGAGAACGACGAGATATTTAATTTATTCTTGGACACCTGCCCGCCCCTTACGCTTGTTCCAACCAGTTGAGGGTGCGCCCGAGCTTCTGTGAACGCATTGCCCCGAAACGCAGTATCGCGCGATTTATCCCCTTCACTGGTTCGAGGGTGGCTCTCCACACGTTCTACTTCATACCCACCGCTGTCGAGAACGTTCTTTTCTGCACTTTCACCTCTTTCGTTGTTTTGTCCCAGCCTCTCGTGCGCAACCTCCCGGAGCGGTTCGACGGGACTGTCGCGGTGGCCACGGCTGACGTGGATAAGGCGGCGGAACTCGCTGATGAGCGCGAAGTGACCACCATTCCGCACTTCCTCCTCCTCAAAAACGGTGTCCAGGTGTGTGCGCATGGGTTTTGTTGTTTTCGCATCGATCGCGCTGATTGGCTGGGCAACGAAACACGTCGGTCTTATGATAGTGGGATAAAGTGCTATTTGAACGCTTCAGGTTCCGTGGGCTCCTTTCGTGTGATCCATTGAATGACATCTACCGGGCTAACTGGAACCATGAAGCTTGTCAGTCTACGATTGTGAGTGTGTAACTTTTCGATTGTTTGTTTGTTTGTTTCCGCAACTACTCGCATGATCCGCGCAATGTAGTTGATTGACGACCACAATAATAAGGTTTTTCAGTTGTGGCGAGACGAACGAAGTTCTACCGTTTCCCAAACAAAAGTGGGACGGAAGGGTGAAACCTCCGTATGCCGCGTGATCGAAGAAGGTAGAAAGCCGCAGCCAACCCTTTCCTCCTGCGGCACCGTTGCCTTGTAGCGAGGTGTTTCTGGTGTCCGCGTGTGACTGCCCTGTACGGCTCTTTCTTTGCTGAGTGTGTCCATATATGTATATTAGTTTTTCATTACTCCGGAGTACGTCTCCAGCGAAAACCTATGAGTCATTATTTTGTGGGGTTGAACAGCAGAGGCTTCTCATTGCGTTCGTATATCCACCCCAACCCCATTCAGAATTTTGCCCTACCCGTCGGTTTTCTCTGCATTCGAAACCTCGGTTGTACTTGGGCTGACTACCTCGATCGAAAGCATCTCTTAATTAACCAAGATCCTCCGCAAAATCGATGTGTTGACGCGCAGGTGGACACCTACACAGGCAGTTCGGAAACGGACCTGCTGAGCAAGCTTGCACAGCACCTCCCTAACGTTGGGAGCCCGTCAACAGAGCCAAGCCCAGCCGGCAGCGGATCGGCAGGCGCCGGTTCGAGCGGTGCCATGATCCGTAGCGGCCCGGGAGAACACGCCAAGGGCGTGAACGGGGAAGACGTTCCAGGCAAAAACTTCGCCGCCCTCAAGGCAGCGGAGGCACTCATCGACGCATTCGACGGCAATGTGGACGTCGCTCGACTCTTGCGCGACATCCGACAGTACGCCGCCGAAGCTTATGGTGGCACCAGTTCTAAGCCCTCTCGGCGGCTGCTGCCACCACCACCACCACTATTGCCACGAGCTCCGGGAGAAGCACCTATCCAGAAGACGAAGGCCGCGGCTGATTCGAGTTCCGGACAGCCGTGGGCAGTATCCGCCGCTTCTGCTGTTGTCCAGCAGCAGCAGGGTGCAACAGTGGAAGAGGGCAGGGGGGGAGAGAAACGGGAGACGAGCGGAAGCGATTCGTCCGTCACGGCAACCAAGCCTTCTGCTGCTGCTGCTGGCGCCGCCGCGGTCTCTGCCACGCGGAAAAGCAGACAAGAAGTGGAAGCAGAAGCCGCCAAACTGGGGGCGTCAGGCGGCTGACAGCTTGGGTCGAGGAGGAAGTAGCATGGGTGTGTTCCTCGATAGGCACACGGAAACGACGTTTGGCGCGTTAATTTGCCCTTGTAGGAAGCGCATTTCACCATACACCGTATTCCTGTCGACTTTCATGCCCTTGGTACCCTTCCCGGCCGATTTATGTAGATAATATGGGTTTTCAGCCTACAGGGCGTAGCGGTTGCTCTGTGTTTGTGGTCAGCCCCCCTGAGAGGTTGTGTACGAATGCCGTGATGACGGGCGGCGCGGGAAACCATCGCGAAGGAGCACAAAGTATGTTTCTTCCGGCTGGCGCGGTCGCTCTGACAAGTGCGTTCGACCTGTTCGTTTTTTCTGATAGCTGTATGGTAGACAAGTCGTATATTCGGGGTCCCATTTATCTCAGAATGCTGTCATTCACCACCTGGCCAAACTTACGTGCGCGTTTCGAAGAGTTTTTCACACGGTTGGGTGATGGATCTGAATTGCTAGGAAAATACAGTAGTTGGGGTTGCCTATGTACAGCAGGCGCTGTAGGATTTGTTCTCCCGAGGTAGGGCCTCGTTGGTGTGCATGTGTGGAAAACGTCGTGCCTTGCCTGCAGGAAGTTATCATCTTTCCAAGTGCGTAAGCGTGCTGGCAATCGTGTGCCCGAAAGCCTTAGCAAGCAGTAGAGGAGGAATGATATCCACGTAGGAGACCAATGGTGGTCAGTGTCAGATGCAGTGCCGCCTGGTTCACAGGATTTGACCCGCAAACGGGATAGCAACCAAATATTGAGGTTAGGTGCGATTGGTTTCGTGCTTCATCTAGTGTAGACCAATGTATGGTGTATTGCAAGGCTGGGTCTGGCTTCTTGCAATCAAGCAACCCACACCGACACAATGCAACAAAGGGTTCGTTGTTTTCACTCGGGAAAACCTTCTTTTCACTCGGGTATGATGTATTGCAAGGCTGGGTCTAGCTTTTTGCAATCAAGCAACCCACACCGACACAATGCAACAAAGGGTTCGTTGGTTTCACTCGGACGTTGGTATCGCTCGGGAAAACGACAAGCAGCCGCCATCCGTTTTACCTCGTTTTTTTGTGAAATGCCTGAAATGAACAAACTGTTGACGTACAACAGCAGCAGCAGTGAATGCTTCCCCTGTCCGCCATATCATTTTTACGAAACGATCAAACCCGCCTCTTGACAGGGTCGTGGCAGTATCTCCATTACTTGATGTACTGCGGCGATCACGGTAGACCCCCCTCCATACACATGATTTCGACAGAAGCAGCAATCAGAGTGATGCCGCCCACCGTCCAGCAGCGTCTGCATTCATTGGAAATCCACCACTTTTCACTCTACAAGCCAAGCCAACAACCCGACACCGACGTAGACCAACACTTCATACGGCTTAGCACCAAGATCAAGACCCCGTTTCACTCCATTCCCGCGGATATGACCGCATCTCAGTCGCAGCGTCATTTTCGTCTCTCTTGATGACATGGATGCCACCGTATAACCCAAGATACCCGGGGCAAATTCACGCTTTTCGGGGTACTACGGTATCCCGTCATATCATATGTTCCTCGCCGCCTCTACTAGTTTTGTCGAAGCAACTCCTACTCCCCGCGGTCCCCAGCAACCTTCCCAGGTTTGCCCGCCTTCCCGTGCACGTCGAAAAGTTCTTGTACCATCACTACAAGGCATAAGGCGCAGTGCGCGGGTGCGAGCCACGGCCACGCGGCGCGGAACTCCGGCAGCAGGTGCACTCCCGCCAAGGCCACCAGCTGACACATGATCATGGGGTGCGGGACACAGTTGTACGGGAAGACAGCCGTCCGTTTCATTTCGCAGACGCCCAACTCGCGTCCGAGGAAGGCGCCGTTCGTGCCGAGAGCGCTGGTGGCCAAGATCGACAGGGAGACGCCGGCGAGAACCAACGAGAGCGAGACGATCCCTTACGTGGGGGCGCCGAATCCAACCGGGTCGGAGGCGACAAGGAGCGCAGAGACGTACCGGTAGCCGACATGCGAGTCAATGTGGCGAGTAAGTTGAGGATTGGACGTGCCTCGCACGTTTTCTATTCTGTCTTAGCAGTTATCTTCCCAACAGCATACTGGACCGGATCCTATATACTGTATTCAGATAATAGTACGATTACTAAGTCGGTGGTGACGACCCGCGTGGTATTCCAGGCGGCCATCGGTTCCTTTCCTTCTGTCGGTGTTTCTCGCCACATCGGGCCAAGCGTGCGAACCACACCGGGACATGGCGTCCACCCTGCGGAATAGTCTACTACGGTTGTGCCCTTCGCTGCTCAGACATCGCACACAAAGCTGCACGGGTCGTCACCGCCATAACTAGTTCGAGCTTTTAACCTTCCTGCTCGGGTTTATTGGTCACATAACATAGAGTAGCTTTTGTACTCCGTGCAAGACCTACCCCTGGAGGCACCGCGTGTGGTGAGGAGAGCACTGCATTTCTTCCGCCAGGAAATCGTCTATACCAAAGACAAAAAGCGCCAACTCACCCCATGAGACTTTTGACTATAAACGTGTACTGAACAGCTGTTCTGGACCATGCATGTATTGTATGTGCCCAACGTGTCGGCGCGACGTCTGAAAATGCCAGATCGATTCAACAGACACGCTCAACACGCATCTTGTTGCCGTGTGGACCGCGTGTTTCCTTGCTGCCCCCTCTCCCTTCCCTGACGACGACCCGGCCAGGGTTATGATCTCTCGCGCGTGGCCAACGAGATCGGCTGCCACAACCTACTCTACGCGGCGGCTCTATTCGTAGCAGGCAGACTGGTCCACCCGAACGTCTTCCTCGTGGGAACTTCGTTCGTGCACTACCCGCGGTACATCACCACCTTCTACCACCGCAGCAGCGACGTTGACCCGGGTCTGTAGAACGGAAGCAGAGCATACGGCCCGTCATTGTGGCGAGTGGTGAAGGTGGAGTCGGACGTGCTGCCCACCTTCGCTGACTTGAAGGGACCGGAGACGAAGACCTCGTTCATGAAGGGGATGGGCTCGACAGCATATGTGCGCTTGGAGAACTTCTGGCGAAACATGTCTTCGATCTGCGTTCGTCCACAATCGGGGCACGTACCAGGGGGGGGGGGGGGGGGGGGGGGGG